TAGTAAAAAAACACTTGCAACCAAGTTGCACAAATTCTACAAATATTTCTTATATATTCTGATGAATTTTAGGGTAACAAAACGTAAGGAGGCCCCGATTAAAATTACAAATTTATTGATAACTCAGGATCTAGAGAAGCTATCTGAAAACTAATTGCATATCTGAAATCACCACTAAGAAATACATCAGTATATTAAATTTCAGCACAATAAATGAAAAATAAAAGAAAGCTTAAAGAATAAATAAAAGAAAAATCTTATCTTGAACCTCCGGGTAAAGTCATGAAACGTGGAATGTGCGCAGCGTGTTTTGAGCTGCACCGGCTGTGTATTTATCGGCGTTTCTTAACTCAGAAGACACGCCGCATGTGGCGTGTATCCCGACTTGGTCCTTAGGTTAAAATGCATTTAAATTATTTATTTGTAAATTGTTAAATGCATATATATTTGATTGAATTGTATATTGTGTCATAGCATGTGTTTTATGCTTGGTTGTATTTTGGGATTTTTATTCAATTTTTATCAAATTGTACAGTGTGCCAAACAGAGAGTTTTTAAGCATGAAATGCTTTTTAACGAAACTCTCAATCCCAAAATCTTGTTCGTCCAACCAGCCATGTATTTCCCGTTAAATATAGCGGGAAAATTAAACTGAAATTTAAGTAATGTGACATCAGTTAATGTCACGTGACCTGACATCGTGTGATCTACGACAATAGTTCTCAAATGGGGGTCTGCGTACCCCAAAGGGTCCCCAAAAGCATTCTAGGGGCCCGCAAAGCCCCGTCTCATCAGACAACCCTGGCAATAAAAGTTGTCTATTTTTCAAATCGAGAAGAATGTTCCAATATTCGTGTGAGATTTCTTGTGTCTATCTCAATGAGAGAAGTCTACTTCACACTAGCCCTTAGTTATATCCCTTTATTAAATCATTATCATAATTAACCTAAACATCTCCCTTCACCTCATTACGAACGGGGTCATCTTTTCCAATGCACAAGGGGTCTGCGCAACATGAATGGTTGAGAACCACTGATCTACGATACAACAATTAAGTTTCCCAGCTAAATTTAGCAGCAAAAATTGATGTAATGTTACTGGACAAAGCGTGACCTATACGCCAATTCAGTTTCCCCGCTATATTTGGGGGGGAAATCAACGTCGCATGACTTTCAGTTTGTCTGCTAGATTTGACGGTGGAATTGACGTCACGTGACCCTATGACAGGAGACACATCAATATAATTTCCCCACTAAATCCAGCAGGAAAATTAATGTCACGCTATCTATGCGCCACTTTTGTTTACCCGCTTAGTGGAAATATTGATGCCATGCGACCTATGCACCCAGCTTCCCCCTCACTGTATATTGTGGAAATTAATAAAAATAAAGCTTCTTTACTCCCCAAAACAATGGTTTAATGTAGTCTAAATAATTTTAAACGACTGCACTTCAAATACTGTATTTCATGCCATACAGTGCAACCAATTTATAACGATACCACATATAACGATCTACTGCTTATAACGATCAGTTTCTAGAGTTTTTAGACTGGAAATGATCAATTTCTAGTCCAGATACAATGGTAAACGGTTATAATGATTGAAATTTCGGGTTTTCTCATTTTCGTTATAAGTGGGTTGCACTGTAGATAGCACTTATGCCCAACTCCCACTAGAGCGACAAACACCCAGGTAGCACACTTTCTAGGGCCAGCTTGGGCCAATATTGGTGCTTGATTGTAGTAAGCTGGCCCAGCATCGTCCAAGGAATACGATCGCCCGCCAGCCTGGCACTTCATTGTATTTTCTGGCCCAAGGTTTCCATGCTACAGCCAGGAAAGGGCTTCCTTGGCTGGAGCTTGCATTTTCCCGGCCAGGGCCGGCCGATATAGACAGACCACTGCCAGGATGTGCACTCCCTTGGCTGGAGCTCGCATTTTCCTGGCCAGGGCCGGCCGATATAGACAGACCACTGCCATGAAGTGCGTTTCCTTGGCTGGAGCTCGCATTTTCCCGGCCAGGGCCGGCTGAGATAGACAGGCCACTGCCAGGATGTGTGCTTCCCTGGGGATTCACTGAGATTCCCTGGCCCAAACAATACAAGAAACAGACAGCGTTCGGCCATGTTGCCAGACCACAGAAAGCAATAAAGGTGAATTGCAGTGATCAGCTGTACCCTGACTGGAGCTCGGATTTCATAGGGCCAGAAATACCAGTGATATGCCGCTGTTACTCCGGCCGGCTGAAAGGATGACCAAGAAGCTCCACGCCCAGGCTGTCCAATCAGCCCAGCCAGAGATGCCCGACGACCCGCCTGGTAGCGCGGACTAAACAGCTAACGCTGAACCGAATAAAACTAAGTCTCCGGGTTGTTTTAAATTGGTTCCCGTGTATTTTATTAACAAAGGTCACATTCTTGAACATGCACATTAATAGCATTTTCGTTAATACTAGCCTGTTCTCAAGAAAGATAAAATCTGAGACTCTCAAACAGAAATACAGAAATGGTCTATGGCAGTGGTCGGCAACCAGCGGCCCGCGGGCCGCATCCGGCCCGCGAGGTAGTATCATACGGCCCTCAGTCTCCCGGTAACCCCCTTTCCCCCTACGCAGTCAGCTAAAGAAACAAAAAAAAAAAAGTTGACTAATTCGCTGCCCGTCTGCGAGCAGACTTTTTCACGAATGAAGTGCATAAAATCCAACTTCCGCTCACGAATGACTGACAAGAACCTCCACAATGTTTTCCGACTCGCAGTTAGCAGCTTGAATGTGGATGTTCGTAGTTTGGCGAGCGCAGTTCAACACCAAAAGTCTCACTGAGAGGAGTCTCTAGATTTTCGTGGAAATATTGTATCTCGTATTGTTTGTCTTGAAATAAAGAAACTGTTTATTTTCGATTTATGTATGTCAATGTAAGTTCGTGCAAGCGCTTTTTTTTTTAATTCCCCCACCCCCCCCCCCCCCCCGCTCTGCTTGCCGTCCGGCCCGTTCCGCCTTGGCTTAGCGGCGACTCGGCCCGTATCGCCAAAAAGTTGCCGACCACTGGTCTATGGTCGTCTATTTAAAATTATAAGGCAGGCTATCACCCCTTATGGCCCTCTATGGTTGGCCATAGAAATCCATAAAGACAGCTACAGCCGGCTGTAGAAAAATCTATAGCCCTATGTCTAAAAACTGGGAACCAATAAAATACCTTTAGACGCCTATAGAAAACTATATGGCCCCGTGTCTAAAGACAGAGAACCAATAAATGTTCTTTTCCCGCCTATAGAAAACTTCTTCGCCCCGAGTTTAAAGACAGGAAACCAATAAATTGTCTTTACCCGTCTATAGAAAAATTTATGGCCCCGAGTCTAAAGATTAAGAACCAATAAATTTTCTTTCCACGCCTACAGAAAATCCCTACCGGCACTTACTTTTTTTTAGTAAAAACACTTCACGTTAGAAAATTAAATCAATACTAAGTTTCTGTCAGGCCGGTGACAAACCATGACCCAAGATATGTTCTCTGCTGTTGCAACAAGTCGTGAAAACCAGTAATATTGTTTGTTTGAAAAACCCATTAAAATACTTGTACAAAAATTAAAATTAATTATTTCCCCCAAAAGTGAAAATAACTTACACTGGGCGCCGAACACTGCAATCAAGCAATAGATTGATTGCAATCTTCAGTACCAGTGTACTGCATGTCATCATTGTATTGTCAACGTGATTGATCAAACTTATTGAAAAGTAAATTAACACATTTTAATTAATTAGCCTAATGATCTACATTTACTTTTTTCAGGGTTTTGAAATAAAAGATGGGGGCTATTCCAAGAGACAATTCAAATAATGTATTAAGTATGAGTAATATTTGCTCCGCCTCTCCGTGTTTTTGCGACAAATGATGGGTCACCGGCAAAGTCGGATTCAAAAATTAGACTGCCATATATACAGCTATTCCGAACATAGCGTTTGTAGATCTGCGTTAGTGCTGTTGTGTGGGGAAGTGTTCTGCTTGTGTTGTGTGTGTTCAGAGATGTATGTATATCTATACATAGATTTACACATATATCTATACATTGATACACATACACCATGTAGCGTTCACAAGTCGGGGGAACTTAAAGTAAAACTTTTTTTTTAGGGTTTGCTGGCTAAAGAAAGCCATAGAGAAGTTTTTATTCAACCATTAGAAAAGCTAAAGAGCGCTATGGGTGGACAGCGATAGGGCCAGAGAAAAAGCTAAAGAAAAGTAGAAAAACACATACTGCAACATTATCATCCCCAAGACTGGCTTGCCCGTGAAGAGCCACCCTGGTCCGAGTTCTTTTTACCCATATAGCCAGGATTGGCTGACCCGGAAACAGCCACCCTGGCCCAGGCTGTATTTGCAGGATGGAGCCCAGATCGGCTAGACGGGGAATTGCAGCTTACTGCCAATCTTGGCTTGCCAGGTTGGCTCTAGCTGAAGCCTTGGTGCAAAACAAGCATGGCCCAAGGAAAGTTTCCTTGGCTGCCCAACCTGGCGCGATCTAGAGCCAGGGAATTGTGCTACTTGGGCAGAAGCAAACGACAGTCAAAAGCCACACATGCAGCATGCTCGCGATGGTACCTTTGGCAGGCGTTTAGTCATTCGGTGCTAGTGAAGTAAGCACGAGTGATTGCGAGCCTGCCAAAGATACCCTCGCGTGCATGATGCTCGTGTTTGAGCATAGCCTCCTTATTCTACAAAGCCTGTCAAACTGCGAAAGACTATGGTTTGAGGCCTTTCACTGTCGTTTGTTTTTGTTTGTCACTCTAGTGAGACTCGGACACTAAGAGATAAAAGTCGCTGCCAATTTTTTTAGTAGTTTTTTTTTTCTCAAGCTGCCCTTCAAGAGATTAGCAGCTCGAGCAGCTTTTTTTCCCCGGTTTCCCCTTCGTAGTTCTGTTGAGAAAATAAAGTTATTGTATTGTATGTACTTTGTATGTACTCGTCTCGTTCGAGTCGCTCTACAGGGTGGAGGCCGCTCACCTTTGTCGACAGCTGGACGGGACGAGGCCGCCCCGACGGGTCCACGAGGACGACGTGCGTTCCCCCGAAGGCAACAAAGTGGTCGTCATTCTGCGAGGCAGTCACGTGGGCGGGACCCGGGAGGGACAGCAGCTGGCGACAGGGAGTCGCAGCAGACGAGGACGGCGTACCCACGTCCGCCATGCACACTTCTCCTGCCCATGCGGGGAGGACAAAGAGTAAAGAGAGTGAAATTCCTCGCCGAGTCTGACGTGACATTGTGACGTCACATGACATGGTGCTGCACCGCATGGTCACCTGATGTAAGGTCAAGTGACCGTGCGCTTTCCCGACGATTACGTAGCATCGCGACATCAAGACGTGACATCAGGTCACGCCACGACGCCACAGGAGACCTTTAAATGTTATACATTTTGGAGCACTTTTGGAGTATTTCGTACGAGGAACAGACCTTCCAAAAAAATATGCACCTTTCATTACCGGCTGCAAACATCATTTGAAGCTGCCACATTTCGGTCGTGAATCACTGGCGCGTGTCGGATACGAGCACTCCGTCGGCGTTCGGTAACTTTCCTCTAAATCGGTGGGTAGGCGGGGACGTTGGCTTTGCGCTCCTGTTCAATCGCACGCTTGGTGCTGGAAGAGATGCCCAAGACATGGTGACCATCAATGTTGCTTTGTGGGAGTTTATGAAGGATCTATTGCCCTCTAACCCTTACATTCCATATTCAACAGACTTGCCTTGAGGTTTGTTTACGAGCATTTTTATTTCGCAATGCGTGCGGACTTTACTCTGTTGTATGGTACATCTGGACGCAAGGATGTAATTGTTAGGCAACCCCAGCTCATATGGGCTTTGTGATTGAGCTCTCCTTCACCGCTGTATATCTAAAACAAACACAGCAGCTTCTTTCGCCAATGGAGCGACTGTAGGCAGAAAGTTTGTTCGAGCTTCACCGCGTAGCTCGACATGACACTATAAATTAGCAGCACTATTGTGGTAATTATCAAAACAAAAAAAACAAAAAAACCTTTCTCAGCCAATGCATGTCCTTTATGCTGATGCAGAGCCTTGTACTTTATCAAAACTGGCAGAACTACATAACAGGCTTTTTTTGTCCTCTGCCACATAAAGTCACTGTTCAAAGCACTTGTGTGCTATTATACACCAAATTTAATCCTCACACATTTGGAAGCGAATGTGTCACACCTCGTAATGTGCAAAGATCCGGCTCCAGAAAGAAAATCTGTGTTTTCCGGCACTGCAGTTCAAACGGTTAACCTTACAGCCTCACATGAAACACACCCATGTACAATATGCAAAGCATCACGTGACACGCATCGCATCCTCACCCCTGGCGTAGGAAACAATGGCGTGGCTCTTGCTCAAGGCCACAGAGCTGACGTGGCCTGAGTCATCTGCAAACGGCACCCCATCCACGGTCAGTGTCTCCACCTCCAGTCCGTCGCAAGTCCGATGCCACAGTCGGACTTCGCCGCTAGAGTAGCTGCATTGGAAAACCGGCAGAACACCGTTGAACTACTTAGAATCCTTTCATTCCAAAAACACTCACACTGAACAAAGTATTTGCCCACTGCACTTTGCAGGATTTTGTTCACTATATCTTCAGAGATTAAACATTCTATTATACCCCTTCAAATGAAAATTTACAACACCAAGCAAGATTTAATTTAACTCTGGTCAGTCCTTTGTATGCCCTACCCTGTCAGGCACAGAGCTACTGAACATTCACGTTCAAATACCATGATATCCTCTAACTCAGTTCATATTGTTACTGTACTAGGCATTTGTTTTTTTATTCAAAGAGATTTTTTAGAAAGCCAAGATGACAGTTACTTGGGGGGTTACGCTCACAACAATGCATTGAAGAGTTGCATACCCATTTTGGAAACTTTTTCATTATGTGTGGAGCGTGCTGTCGGCACATTTGCCAAGGAGACATTTCTGAAACAGTGATGAAACACCCAAAACAAGTATGCCACTCTTAGAAACATTTATTGCGAGCAAAAACTTAAGTTTTTCTTGTGCATCCAGTTTCAGAACCAGGCGACAAGAATGCAAAACCTGGTCAATAAATATCCCGAAGCCCGCTACTTTTTAGCAAAATGTATAAATTGGTTTAGTCACTTATAGCCTTCAATAGAGAAACTGCAACATGACCTGTAACAATAGAAATAAGAAGTTGATAAAAAATTTTAGTTAACCAGCAGATTGTGTGCGATGGTTTTCCCTGTCTAACATCCGCCGAGCCCCACAAACATGCAGCGGAAACAGGGTCCTGTAATGATAACCTCTATTCTTAAGAAGCTTGTTCGAATTAAAAACAAACGGCCTACACATATCAAACTCCGTCCAATGATGTACCGATTAGCCCATCTTTCAATCTTAATACAAAATTTTATGAATGACGTGCAAACTGCCTAGGTAGGCAAGAGGTTCTGCGCTAGTGCATCGACATTACGCTACCAAGGACTCCTCCTCAAACTAAACAAGACTGTGTACTGTTTAATCTGAGAACAACTTGGTTTCATCTCTGAAATGTCCTCGTGCATTGTACTGGCCAGCACTCTTCTCAGCTGGTTGTGCGTGGTTTAAACATAGCACACTGCAATGATTCCGTTCACTGATGAACAGTAGGTGAGCAGCAGCACCGTGCAAAGTGAGAAGTAACGGCAAAAATATTTTAAAACAAACCCACCGAATACTACTGTTAGAGAATTTAGTCGATTCGTTGCAAAATGTATGACCCATAATTTTGCACTCTCCCGTACAGTCTGGATTAGGAATGTCGCAAAGCTCCCAAGGTACAAGTTCAGCCAGGTTCGAGCACTTCAAACCTTTAACGTAAAGTCTGACTATTATATATGCGCATGCGCAGGTATTCAAGACAAGCCAACACCACTCGACAGAGGAGGGGGTGCGAAATCTACCGCTTCACATTAATAATCTCATTATATAATAGTAAAAGCTTATATGTTTACTTCATACCATGTAAAATTTAAAACAAACTACTTACTAACTATATCAACTATTATTTCATGAAAACTTCAAAAGTTTTGTACAGAAGTCGATCAACACCATTTTAAGGTAAATCCGTCAAAACTTCCCAAAAGTATGAAGGTCCTCCTGCCGGCCTCCTTGAGCGAGTCGGATATTCGTGGCGCCTAACAGTCCGAAGACAAGGCCGTGAAAGTGGCTTCGAAAACCCGAGCTGAAAATCGCCGCTAGTCAACGAGAGGATGAGAAGCACAAGGTCTCTCCGTCGAATGCCCAGCCTTCGTCACCGTCAAAGCATTCTTGAAGGTAGGAACATTGCGCCAGAGCCGGGAGAGCCGAAAGACCTCCCTGCTGTTCTTGTCCTGTCGGCGACTGCGATCCAGAGGACACGAAAGGGTACGCACCCGGCAACCACGACTGCGTCCGAAGAGTCCACGGCCGACAGGACTCCGGCCCGCGAGTACTCGAGCTCGTAGAGTCTCCCTATCCGATTCTGAAAGCAAGGACATCTATGAATAAATGGAACAGCGCGGAACATAGGACAGAAAGAACAGGACAACACGAGCACTGTTCCATTTAGTCATGAACCAACTAGCCCATCAAAGCACACTGCTCACATCTATGAAGGTAGGCTGAACCGCCATCCCTCAACCGAGACAGACGGACAGCGAGTTGCGAAAGGCTAAACCCTACCTGATCACTTGCAATTTAGGGGGGTAGCCCACGGAAAGTGAAAAACCAAATCTGATGGAGATATTTTTTTTGTTGTTTTTATTTTAAGAGCATGGTTAATGCCCAGCCTAGCTAGTTAGGCCGTCCATTCCGCGCCCCGATGCAATGTGAAAAACAAGGAATCTACCTTCAATTACCGTATTGATTCGAATATAAGGCGAGCTTTTTTTCCAAAATCCGTAGTGTCAAAGTCATAGCCCGCCTTATATTCGAAGCTCAGTATAGCAATATGACGATTTTTTTTCTTTTTCTCGGGTCCTTCAACTGCCCCCTCGCCTTATAATCGTGACCGCCTTATATTCGAATAAATACGGTATAATTCTGCATGTGTGAAGACACCACCGTTTACGATTTAAGATACCTCAGAAAGTTCCCTAATATCACCTCATCGCTACCACTTTCATTGCTATTAGGAATACCACCAAACTTTGTTGAAACCAAACTGATATGGTTCAAATCAATCAACTCTGGTGAATGCTGGAGACCAGATTTTGAAATGCGATGGCAAAGTGTATGTAAAGTTTTGTCTCTTCCTGTGAATCAGCAGATGTTAGCACAGGATGGTGTCCAGTTCTCTTCCTCTTGTCCTTGTCTTCGAGCGCTCCCATCTATTCTCAAATTCATCACAAACTCGCCCAACAATGAGCACTGTCTATTGAAGAATGCTGCAAATACTGTGAATGTGTCTGCTTTCCTCAATAATATTATCAATAATGGAGCGAGCTTTTAGCTTTAACATACCTACCCATCTGCCTTGACCTCGTGGCCAGCAGTGTGTTCAAAGTGAAAAATGAAAGAAAAGTCTTACTCAATGAAAGTTAGAAAAAACAATGGCATCCCACTCAACAGGTGAGAAAAAATTGTTGGCTAAATCGCTGCACAGATTGTCATTAAAATGCGATAGCATGCTGTACCGTATTATACTGCGTAAATGGTTCGTTACTAAATTGTTTAGGTCCTGTTATGGAAATTCTAGGAGTATCTTTCGTCAAAGTTCATGAAGTCTTCCATCACATTTAAAGCTCGTTCGCAAAATTTTACGACCTAACCATCTGCTTCCTATGGATCGGTCTCCCACGACCAACCAACAACTTTTCTTGTAGCGTTACTGCAACTAGAATGTTTCTCTCTTACTTATGTATATGAACATAATAAGACCCTTGGTAACTTTTTTTTCCATTCTCAAGCAAGTATATATTACATGGATTCACTGGGTGCATTACCGCCGTATGCATACTGAAGTAGGTCCATAACAGGTGCGTGCGGCCTGCTTCGCTGGTTACAAATCGATCCGCGGATGCGAGAGCGTGTAGGATTCGCTCATAAACGCCACCTCATTTCTGCCAGCAGGCTGAAAGGCATGCCACAAAACGCTTGAAACGAAAGGCAGGAAACGAAATGCATGCCACGAAACGCATTCGGTTACCTTCCAATTGTGTCTGAGCACAGACTCCCGCTGCATCTGGTCTCGAAGGAAGCGCTTCCAGCCCGCCTTTTCCATGGCAACCACGTCGTCTGCGAACCCCATCTCCCGGGAGTGTCTGTGCCACAGCAGCTCATCGTCTGCTATGCTTCGCCAACTTCGGCTCACCTTTGGGGGGTAGAGAAAAATACAGGCCGATCCCTCGGCAATGTGGTGTCGCACGTTTGATGTCTACAAGCTGGACGGGTTTTCTTTATGCTATAGTCGCTGACAGATTGAGTACGACAGCACACGATGACGCTTTGGCATCTCGTGAGCCTCAAGCACGCTGGAGGCCGGGCATTCAAAAGAGAGGACCTTCATTTCTCGCCTTATCAATGACTACGGGAAGATTTATTTAGTGGCTGCGATAGCAACAGGTAACACAGCAAATTCCTTCTTTAGCAGAAGCATGAGATAGGAGGAGGAAAGCCAGTCGGTCTGGGCTTACGGGGTTTGGTCACAAAAAAAACTTTCAGCCTTTCCACTCTGGTGAAGAAGGAAGACCAGGAAAGCTGTATTATGGTGGAACAACCTAAAGCACGACTTCTTGGACGAACTCAAGGATGATGCTAGAGGACGACGTCCAGGACGATCTCAAGGACGACGTCTAGGACCACCTCGAGGACGACATCTAGGACGACGCCTAGAGAAATTCAGCCTTTCCACTCTGGTGAAGAAGGAAGACCAGCAAAGCTGTACTATGGTGGAACAACCTAAAGGACGACTTCTTGGACGAACTCAAGGATGATGCTAGAGGACGACGTCCAGGACGATCTCGAGGACGACGTCTAGGACCACCTCGAGGACGACGTCTAGGACGACGCCTAGAGAAATTCAGCCTTTCCACTCTGGTGAAGAAGGAAGACCAGGAAAGCTGTACTATGGTGGAACAACCTAAAGGACGACTTCTTGGACGAACTCAAGGATGATGCTAGAGGACGACGTCCAGGACGATCTCAAGGACGACGTCTAGGACCACCTCGAGGACGACATCTAGGACGACGCCTAGAGAAATTCAGCCTTTCCACTCTGGTGAAGAAGGAAGACCAGCAAAGCTGTACTATGGTGGAACAACCTAAAGGACGACTTCTTGGACGAACTCAAGGATGATGCTAGAGGACGACGTCCAGGACGATCTCAAGGACGACGTCTAGGACCACCTCGAGGACGACATCTAGGACGACGCCTAGAGAAATTCAGCCTTTCCACTCTGGTGAAGAAGGAAGACCAGCAAAGCTGTACTATGGTGGAACAACCTAAAGGACGACTTCTTGGACGAACTCAAGGATGATGCTAGAGGACGACGTCCAGGACGATCTCAAGGACGACGTCTAGGACCACCTCGAGGACGACATCTAGGACGACGCCTAGAGAAATTCAGCCTTTCCACTCTGGTGAAGAAGGAAGACCAACAAAGCTGTACTATGGTGGAACAACCTAAAGGACGACTTCTTGGACGAACTCAAGGATGATGCTAGAGGACGACGTCCAGGACGATCTCGAGGACGACGTCAAAGACCACCTCGAGGACGACGTCTAGGACGACACCTAGAGAAATTCAGCCTTTCCACTCTGGTGAAGAAGGAAGACCAGCAAAGCTGTACTATGGTGGAACAACCTAAAGGACGACTTCTTGGACGAACTCAAGGATGATGCTAGAGGACGACGTCCAGGACGATCTCGAGGACGACGTCTAGGACCACCTCGAGGACGACGTCTAGGACGACGCCTAGAGAAATTCAGCCTTTCCACTCTGGTGAAGAAGGAAGACCAGCAAAGCTGTACTATGGTGGAACAACCTAAAGGACGACTTCTTGGACGAACTCAAGGATGATGCTAGAGGACGACGTCCAGGACGATCTCGAGGACGACGTCTAGGACCACCTCGAGGACGACGTCTAGGACGACGCCTAGAGAAATTCAGCCTTTCCACTCTGGTGAAGAAGGAAGACCAGCAAAGCTGTACTATGGTGGAACAACCTAAAGGACGACTTCTTGGACGAACTCAAGGATGATGCTAGAGGACGACGTCCAGGACGATCTCGAGGACGACGTCTAGGACCACCTCGAGGACGACGTCTAGGACGACGCCTAGAGAAATTCAGCCTTTCCACTCTGGTGAAGAAGGAAGACCAGCAAAGCTGTACTATGGTGGAACAACCTAAAGGACGACTTCTTGGACGAACTCAAGGATGATGCTAGAGGACGACGTCCAGGACGATCTCGAGGACGACGTCTAGGACCACCTCGAGGACGACGTCTAGGACGACGCCTAGAGAAATTCAGCCTTTCCACTCTGGTGAAGAAGGAAGACCAGGAAAGCTGTACTATGGTGGAACAACCTAAAGGACGACTTCTTGGACGAACTCAAGGATGATGCTAGAGGACGACGTCCAGGACGATCTCGAGGACGACGTCTAGGACCACCTCGAGGACGACATCTAGGACGACGCCTAGAGAAATTCAGCCTTTCCACTCTGGTGAAGAAGGAAGACCAGCAAAGCTGTACTATGGTGGAACAACCTAAAGGACGACTTCTTGGACGAACTCAAGGATGATGCTAGAGGACGACGTCCAGGACGATCTCAAGGACGACGTCTAGGACCACCTCGAGGACGACCTCTAGGACGACGCCTAGAGAAATTCAGCCTTTCCACTCTGGTGAAGAAGGAAGACCAGCAAAGCTGTACTATGGTGGAACAACCTTAAGGACGACTTCTTGGACGAACTCAAGGATGATGCTAGAGGACGACGTCCAGGACGATCTCGAGGACGACGTCTAGGACCACCTCGAGGACGACGTCTAGGACGACGCCTAGAGAAATTCAGCCTTTCCACTCTGGTGAAGAAGGAAGACCAGCAAAGCTGTACTATGGTGGAACAACCTAAAGGACGACTTCTTGGACGAACTCAAGGATGATGCTAGAGGACGACGTCCAGGACGATCTCAAGGACGACGTCTAGGACCACCTCGAGGACGACATCTAGGACGACGCCTAGAGAAATTCAGCCTTTCCACTCTGGTGAAGAAGGAAGACCAGCAAAGCTGTACTATGGTGGAACAACCTAAAGGACGACTTCTTGGACGAACTCAAGGATGATGCTAGAGGACGACGTCCAGGACGATCTCAAGGACGACGTCTAGGACCACCTCGAGGACGACATCTAGGACGACGCCTAGAGAAATTCAGCCTTTCCACTCTGGTGAAGAAGGAAGACCAGCAAAGCTGTACTATGGTGGAACAACCTAAAGGACGACTTCTTGGACGAACTCAAGGATGATGCTAGAGGACGACGTCCAGGACGATCTCAAGGACGACGTCTAGGACCACCTCGAGGACGACATCTAGGACGACGCCTAGAGAAATTCAGCCTTTCCACTCTGGTGAAGAAGGAAGACCAACAAAGCTGTACTATGGTGGAACAACCTAAAGGACGACTTCTTGGACGAACTCAAGGATGATGCTAGAGGACGACGTCCAGGACGATCTCGAGGACGACGTCAAAGACCACATCGAGGACGACGTCTAGGACGACACCTAGAGAAATTCAGCCTTTCCACTCTGGTGAAGAAGGAAGACCAGCAAAGCTGTACTATGGTGGAACAACCTAAAGGACGACTTCTTGGACGAACTCAAGGATGATGCTAGAGGACGACGTCCAGGACGATCTCGAGGACGACGTCTAGGACCACCTCGAGGACGACGTCTAGGACGACGCCTAGAGAAATTCAGCCTTTCCACTCTGGTGAAGAAGGAAGACCAGCAAAGCTGTACTATGGTGGAACAACCTAAAGGACGACTTCTTGGACGAACTCAAGGATGATGCTAGAGGACGACGTCCAGGACGATCTCGAGGACGACGTCTAGGACCACCTCGAGGACGACGTCTAGGACGACGCCTAGAGAAATTCAGCCTTTCCACTCTGGTGAAGAAGGAAGACCAGCAAAGCTGTACTATGGTGGAACAACCTAAAGGACGACTTCTTGGACGAACTCAAGGATGATGCTAGAGGACGACGTCCAGGACGATCTCGAGGACGACGTCTAGGACCACCTCGAGGACGACGTCTAGGACGACGCCTAGAGAAATTCAGCCTTTCCACTCTGGTGAAGAAGGAAGACCAGCAAAGCTGTACTATGGTGGAACAACCTAAAGGACGACTTCTTGGACGAACTCAAGGATGATGCTAGAGGACGACGTCCAGGACGATCTCGAGGACGACGTCTAGGACCACCTCGAGGACGACGTCTAGGACGACGCCTAGAGAAATTCAGCCTTTCCACTCTGGTGAAGAAGGAAGACCAGGAAAGCTGTACTATGGTGGAACAACCTAAAGGACGACTTCTTGGACGAACTCAAGGATGATGCTAGAGGACGACGTCCAGGACGATCTCGAGGACGACGTCTAGGACCACCTCGAGGACGACATCTAGGACGACGCCTAGAGAAATTCAGCCTTTCCACTCTGGTGAAGAAGGAAGACCAGCAAAGCTGTACTATGGTGGAACAACCTAAAGGACGACTTCTTGGACGAACTCAAGGATGATGCTAGAGGACGACGTCCAGGACGATCTCAAGGACGACGTCTAGGACCACCTCGAGGACGACCTCTAGGACGACGCCTAGAGAAATTCAGCCTTTCCACTCTGGTGAAGAAGGAAGACCAGCAAAGCTGTACTATGGTGGAACAACCTTAAGGACGACTTCTTGGACGAACTCAAGGATGATGCTAGAGGACGACGTCCAGGACGATCTCGAGGACGACGTCTAGGACCACCTCGAGGACGACGTCTAGGACGACGCCTAGAGAAATTCAGCCTTTCCACTCTGGTGAAGAAGGAAGACCAGCAAAGCTGTACTATGGTGGAACAACCTAAAGGACGACTTCTTGGACGAACTCAAGGATGATGCTAGAGGACGACGTCCAGGACGATCTCGAGGACGACGTCTAGGACCACCTCGAGGACGACGTCTAGGACGACGCCTAGAGAAATTCAGCCTTTCCACTCTGGTGAAGAAGGAAGACCAGCAAAGCTGTACTATGGTGGAACAACCTAAAGGACGACTTCTTGGACGAACTCAAGGATGATGCTAGAGGACGACGTCCAGGACGATCTCGAGGA